CCCCAAAACCCCAAAACCCCAAAACCCCATGATTACAAATTTAAAAATTATTAAATGCAATTGTAAAATTATAATAATATTAAATATGAGGACTAGATTTGCTAAAACAGTGACTAAGGGAGCTAAAGAAACAATGGAGAAATTCAAGACTGAACTTGAGTCATCCTAGTATGCTAAGTCTCTGACAGCAAACAATTTCGCACTACCCCCAGTTTTCCAGAAGAAGGAGATGCGTATTCAGCTTCTAGAAATCAAAGGAAAGCTTGAATTCGATGCTAATAAATATCACAATCAACGATATAATGACTTATTGAAAAAGGTTGTTAACTACAGAGTTGAGTTCCAAAAGATGAAGGATTCCAGTGCCAGAAAAGAACTTGCTAAAGAAGAGTTTGATGCCTGGATGTATTATCTAAATGGAAGAAAACAAGACATGCCAATGCCTGATTACGATATCAATTAAAAAGACCTAAGCTTGCTTAAAGAAAACTTTGATAGATTTAAGGTAAATTTGCAAGTGTATTGATAACTCTTCAATTATAGGATAGAAAAACTCACAGAATTGCTAGCGATCAAATGACTGATTTCCATCATAACTTTGCAAAGAAATTCAAGTTTACTGTCCCCGTACATCCTAAGAATTTGCAATAAATGATTCATCCACATTTTGGCTACCTCACAAGCTTCAAGAATAGAGGTTTCACATTCGAGGAACTAGAATCTCTATACAGAAATCAAATAGTCTCTTCTTATGAGAGATTCTTAGGTTAGGAGCTTCTTGCTGATGAATTATCTTGCCTAAGCTACTGGCTATTAGTTGATGATAATAAAAAGGGCTATTTCAACTTAAACGAACTTGAAAAATTATTACAAGTAATCAATAACTAGTCTTAATAATTTTTACAGGGCTTTAGATTTGAAATTGATGAGTTCAACTTGGCTAATTTCCAAAAGGAATTTAAAACTCTTCTAAAAGTTAATCCAGGAGAAGTCAGATAATACGAGAATGAGGATGATCAAGTTTTTAGATTCGATTTATTAAGATAGATATATCTAGAGAGAGGATTATGATGATCATTATAGTGAATTAAGAAGGTAAATATTTTGAGTCAAGTCCTTAAGCCATGGTTGTGTTTACAGCTCGGTGGTGTACAGGCTTCAATCTTGGAGCATTCTTTGATATTCTGAGAGATCGACTTTTACTGTTGGCCCCATAGATGACTTTACATAACCCCTTACAAAATATTTACCTATTAATTAATATTACTTCCTCTATAAATAATGAAATTTAATCTATACCTTTAATTGACTCAGGCTTCTTAGAAGCTAGAGCTTTTGCGAAAGCGTCGAAGTTTTAGAAAAGACTGTCTGTTTCGAATTCTCTCAATCCAATCTTAACCATGATATCTGCATACTCATTTACTCTGAACTCAATCTGTCCTTGTTTAGAGATTTTTATTGTTTCAATCAAAGCATCTGGCTTAACTAAGGTGCCACTCTTTAAGTTAGGCATAAGTCCTTTAGGTCCTAGAATCTTAGCAAATGATCTTAGCACTCCCATCTACTCTTAAGTAGCAATTAACTTATCAAAATCTAATTTTCCCTCGGATATTTGTCTTAGTACTTCATCGTTACCGAAAATGTCTGCACCAGCTTCTACTACTTATCTCTCTAGACTCTTGTCTGCAAAGACACAAATTTTTGCTGTTTTACCTGTTCCTGCTGGTAATATGCAAGTTCCTCTGATGTTTTAAGTTCCTTGTTTGGGGTCAACAGCCAATCTAATGATTGCTTCAACAGATTCCTTAAACTTTCTCTCCTTTGAGATTGTTTTGACTTATTACAAAGCCTCTTTTGGTGTTAATTCTTTTTTAAGGTTTATGATGCCTGCAGAAATGCTTGATGGAACTCCAGTTTCAGCGGCTTCATTTGCTTAAGCTAAGGGAGTAGCTTTTTTTTAATAGAACTAAGCCAAGACTATAGTTATCATTAGAAAAATGATTATTCAAGCTTAATTTGAAGTAATATATGAAAAGTCTTATTGAAACACACAAAACTTACTTTCATTTTTATTGAAAGATGATTCATTAGTGATTCTATCTTGGCGATATTTCCTCAATCGCTTATTGATTCTACCTTATAGTCTGGCAATGCTTCTCATTTGATACATATACAAAGGACTGATCTAAGTAAGTTAAGAGTTAAACTTATAATACTTGATTAGTCTGAAGAATTTAGAGACCCAATGGAAGGAACCTAGTTCTTAAGAGTTATTGTGATTGTGACAACATATTGAATTTTATATTAAGTTTATAAATTAATAATTATCATTGATTTTCTTACAAATATTATGAAAGCTTGGGGTTTTGGGGTTTTGGGGTTTTGGGGTTTTGGGG